TTTTGTGAAGCGATGAGGACAGGAACTGAACATGCGCAGACCCTCCTGGCTACAAGCAACCCTACTGACTGCTTGCTAACCAGAGAGGGACAATGCCCTGCAAGGAAAAGGCACAGAAGCCATCTGAAGTATCTTCCTTTTCCTTCACTTTGCTATTGCTCTGCATTACTCTCGGGCATCCCAAAAAATCTAGAGAGGTAAATATAAATGCTGGCAGGAAATACTTAATTCATAAATTTAATTAGAGGGCATTGAAAGCCTCTGTAATTACTTACTGCAGCAATGGTAGCAGGAGGGTAAGCTGTTGCTTGTAGCTCAAAGGCTTTTGTTCCTATTAAGCAGTAGCAAGAAATTTTCCCCACAGGAGAACAAAAAGAGCAAGTCGAGTGTATTCTGTATTAAACTAATAAGCCATCTAAGGTTTTTTTTTTCCTAAATAGGCTAGAGGTCTCTTAAAAGCATTACAGCTTACCTTCTGTGTGAACACCCAACCACACAAAGACAGATCTATGCTATGCACCCACCACATCCATTTTCTGCCTCTGCTCCCATCTTTATTGCTGGTGGCTGCACTGCTGCAAGCAAGCTCAGCTGCAGGACGCCTGGCAGCTCCCCTGCGCTGGCTCACGAGGACAGGGACCCCACCAAAGCACCTGCGTGACAGGGCGTGATTTGGCTCTGAACAGGGTGGATATGCAGCTCACGCTTTAGAGAACACCACTAACAGCATTGCTTTTTTTTTTTTTTGCTTTGAGAGATAAAGCTTGTAAATTATTAATGCATAAGCCTCCCCCCCCATCAAGTAAATAAAGAGTGCATGAAAAAAGACAATTTTAAACAAAATTTTAAAAAAAAAAAAGTGCATGAAAAAAGACAATTTTAAACAAAATTTAAAAAAAACACAACAAACAAACCCAAAGTATTACAACTTTAATGAAGCTTATGCCACGTTACGTGTGCTAAGGTATATACTTCTGCACAGTGAGAGTTTATTCATCACTATCATCTTGCTAAGCAAGATGCAAACAGTGAGTGATGGAACAGCACAACGCCTCAGTTTGAACAGCAGACCTGCAAAGAACATCTCCACAACGCGCTCGGAAGCGCCCTTTCTTAAGCCCTAACGAACATTACGCAGCAGGGGAACAGCACATCTTAAATTAAACAGGACTTCATCCCTTCTAACCGGAGGCATGCTTTTCAGGGTGGTAGGAGGAGAGAAGGGACGACATGAGGTATTTCTCCTGCAGACTGGTTTAAAAAGCATTTTCTTTTCCACCGCCAAAATGCAAGAGGAGGAAAGAGACACAGTGGAAATGGGGCAGATGAACAGTCATGGTCTGGACACCTTCAGGCCACAGCACCCTGAGCTACACATTAGCTGGTGTCTATTCTCACGTCAACCTTTTGTTCAGGCTCAATATGAACACTGTGAAATGTTTGCAGACTGATTAATATTTTTTTTCCTGCTCTGAATAAATAGCAATCAATGCCTCTTTTCCTCTACTTTCCAGACCTTGCCTCCCTGGGGAAGAAACCACCACACTTAGACAAAAATGGAGCCAGGGACAGAATTGCCTCCCCACACACTCAGCCCAGCAGCAGGTCAAAGAAAAGTAGGAGTTCATGTTGGCAAACCCATCTGACCAAGGGTTTTTGCTGGATCAATGTCTCCAGGGGTTTTGGTCTCGCAATGAGTGAAGAAAAAGCATTTAGGCTCAAATTACGGGAGCGTTGTTCCCATTAATAAGGCAGTAACATTTACCTCCCTCTCCATCAACTCTTTATATTATCACTAAGAAGAAGGGGCAGGAAGAAGAAAAAAAGCGGGCATTGTCTTCTCCCCACAGCATTCAATCACATGCACAGCAAGATGCTTCAGAAACCTGACACAACCACAATGCAGAGGCACATCACTCCACAAAATCCTTTGGCAAGAGCAGTCCCAATCACTGCATGGCAGCCAATTAGTTGTTTTGATGGCAGTTTTACTTAAATAAAATTGGTTCTGTGCGAAGAGCAGCTCATACATCTGCTTACTAATGCTGTAGCATTTAAACCTCAAACACACGCGCTCAAAATTCACGCCGATACTTTAAACATTGTCCCATAACACGTAAATAAAATGCAACTGACTGCACAGCTGGTTCTATTCTTTTAACTGAATCTCTTTCTAAATTCTTATTTGCATGCAACCCTGCCTATACACCTTTGCTTGGAACTAAAATTAGCTCTCTGTTCTACTCTTCAGCCAGGATCTAGCCTGCAGACTGTCAGTACTTTTCAGCACCACAGCTGCCTTGTGTCTGACTGCTCACAAACTCCTTTCACCTTAAAAATGAAATTTCCAGTGATCGGGCTTATTACTTTTTGAGCCCACGCCTGCACCACAAGTCCCATTACCTCTGCGCGACATTCAGAAGGATGCTTAGGGGAACGATGGACCTCTTACCCTTCTGCTTGAGCTCATCTGCTCTGCCAACGCAGAAAGGGAAAGCGCCAGAAAGTCATCTCCAGGTAGAGAATGCTTTGATAACCCAAGAGGAATACGTAGTTGGAAACAGGCAAGGAGGAGGAGATGCAAAAGGGTTTTATCCCTCGGGTGCTACTATGCAAGTGAAACTCCAATGAATAAGGTCAGCTCTGCAGCACCTCAGTTGGTGCTTGACTGAGTGAAGACAGCATTGTTTTTTAAACTGAAACCCAAAGCAAGCAATACAATGAGAACAAGACGCTATCAGACAGATCAATCTGCTGTCGGCTTCTTTCACTACCAAGGGAGAGCCAAGGCCCACTTATTTTATACTCTCCTCCTATTATCCTCTCACCTGGACATTACCACTACCCTCATAGCCACAGCCAGATTTAGCCAGTCCCAAGGTGTCTTTAAGCAGACAGCCAAGCAAACAAGAACCTCTGTTTCTTCATTTTCAACAGAGCAAACTGCTTCTAGGGTGTTATTAGACTGTGGAAAAAATAGGTCTCAGGAGAAGATAACAGAAAAGAGAACTCCATTGCAGTACCCTAAATCTGCTGCCTCACATTCAGACTATCCAAACCGCAGCACGTAGACATCCAAGCGCAGCACCGACATCTGCAAGTTATATAAAAAGCAATTTCACTCTGCTACAGGTCAGAGCAAAAGGTGGTTAGCACATCAGGCAAAGGCTGGCTGAAGGGTGGGGCACAGAAGGCCACCACGCAGAATGGCAAGATCCTAAGAGCACGGATGACGATGCACAGTCGAGCATGGTACCTCAAACACCGACTGTGGGTTTTCAACACCCCTGCGTGGTGACTGTGTCCACCGCATCCAAACGCGTTGTAATTCAAGCCCCCGGTGCTGAGGGGCATAGGAACAGAAAGTTGAGTTCAGCAAAAGATTGCCTTTGGATCTTTTATCCGGTGTCGTAGGAACTGACTGCGGGGTGCTCGGGAACAGAGGAACGATTAGCAAAAATAGCGTGGGATTCAGCATTTCTTCCCTACAAACAAATCTTGTTTATGTAAAGCCTCAGGGATGAGCGTGATAGCTTGACAAGATAAAATGATGAAAGTCAGCAGATGCAAAATAGACTGTCATAAACCAGAGGGAGAAACATTTGATATTCTGCAAAGAATGTATGTACTTTTTTTTGTTCAGTTGTTTTCTTTCTTTTAATCATGAAAAGCAGACATTGGGCTTGTGACAGGGGGAGAAGAAAACAAGTGTTCACAACACACTTCGTAGTTTTATGCATCAAAACTAACTGCCAAAATACTACCTTCCAATTGTTTGTTTTCAAGCAAAAAACTCTCTTTGCTGCCTGGGTAACCAGTAAACTTGTACACCGCTGCTGATGGGGACCCCAGGTATTTGATCACCTTCTGTCTTTA